GAGAATGTTTCAGAGTGATGGGAGATCTCCAGGGGAACCTATTAACTAGGGAGCTGGTCTTCAACTGCCATTTTTTCCCAAATTTCATTCCACCCTCGACTAGAGCTTAACCCTAGTTCCCCGGGAGCTGGCCGGCCATCCCACCAGCACCCGGGCCTCTGGAATAACGGAACTATTGGTGTGGCTTCGGTTTTCCGCGTGGCTTGGGTTATTTATAGAATTCACATATAAACACGAATAAATCCGTTAGATCTATCCAAGGGATAGAGAAAAGGGGGGAGATGATAGGTAGCTATGATCTCAGCGATCTAAAAATCCTTGAATCGCTGATCGTAAAAGATCAACATAATCACACATTGTTACACTATTTCGGTTCGCATAATGGTATGAGTAGGCATGTTAACGTTTTCATTTTTTTGAAAAACGATCGTTTCGTTATGAAAACGACGATGAAAAATCGAAAACGAAACGATTGTTTTTTCAAAAAGTTCGTTTTTAAAAAATGGTCGTTTTAAACGTTCTGTTTGAAAAACGATCGTTATTAAAAAAATTTACAAAAATCATCGTTTCGTTAACAATAGTTAACGACAACCCTTTGTTAACGATCGTTAACAACAACCCTTTCTTTAACGATTGTTAACGACGACAATTCGTTAACGATTGTTAACGACGACAATTTGTTAACGATTGTTAACAAATTTATCATTGAGTAGTTTTCTAAGAAAATATCAAGAAGTTTTAGCTCCCCCACAACTTTTTAACTCCATGTAAGACGACATTCAATAAAGTTGCATGTAATTTTTTTTCAAAAACGACAATTTTTATAAATTTCGTCTTTTCGTTAATGATCGTTAACGACAACCCTTCGTTAACGATAGTTAACAACGATCGTTAACATAATTGTCAATAAAAATTTTTTTCAAAAACGATAGTTTTTTCAAAAGAAATCGTTTTGAAAAAACAATCGTATAAAAAATGGTCACAAATCGTTTTTTGAAAAACGATCGTTATTCGTTTTCTAAAAGTTCAAAACGAGTGTGTCGTTTTTAAAAACGATATTTTTTTCCAAAAACGAGACAATCGTTTAACAATCGTTTTAAAAAACGATGAACAACCCTAGGTATGAGTGCTCCATTGATAAAATATGACCTCCAAAATGACCACTTGGAGGTCAAAAAGGTCAAAAGTGCCGTCGACGGAATTGTTAATGACATAAAAATAGTAAGAATGGATTCACCATGTGGATTTGCCCCTATTTCGGAACCCATGACGGTATGAGTGCTCCATTGATATACTATGATATACTCCAAAAAGACCACTTGGAGGTCAAAGTGGGCAGTTGTGACTAGGGATGTTAACGTTTTCATTTTTCAGAAAAACGATCGTTTCGTTATGAAAACGATGACGAAAAATCGAAAACGAAACGATCGTTTTTAAAAACGATCGTTTTTTTAAAAAGTTCGTTTTTTAAAAATGGTTGTTTTTTAAACGATCGTTTTTCAAAACGCTCGTTTTTAAAAACGATCGTTTTTCAAAATGATCGTTTTTATAAAATTCGTCGTTTCGTTAACGATCGTTAACGACGACCCTTCGTTAACGATCGTTAACGACAACCTTCGTTAACGATCGTTAATGAAGACCCTTTGTTAACGATCGTTAACGACAACCCTTCGTTAACGATTGTTAACGACGACCCTTCGTTAGCGATCGTTAACGACAACCTTCGTTAACGATCATTAATGAAGACCCTTCGTTAACGATCGTTAACGACAACCCTTCGTTAACGACGACCCCTTCGTTAACGATCGTTAACGAAGAGAGGAAACCGACCTGAAGGTCATCTGTCCTTATCATTGAGTAGTTTTTAAGAAAACATCAAGGAGTTTAACTCCCCCACAACTGTTAAACTTCATGTAAGACGACATTCAATAAAGTTGCATGTAATTTTTTTTCCAAAAACGACCGTTTTGATAAAGTTCGTCGTTTCGTTAACGATCGTTAACGACAACCCTTCGTTAACATAATTGTCAATAAAAATTTTTTCAAAAACGATCTTTTTTTTAAAAACAGTCGTATAAAAAACGGTCGCAAATTGTTTTAATAAAAACGATCTTTTACAAAAACGATCGCTATTCGTTTTCTAAAAGTTCAAAACGAGTGGGTCGTTTTTAAAAACGATCGTTTTTTTTCCGAAAACGAAACGATCGTTTTTGAAAACGAAACAAAAAACGATCGTTTAACGATCGTTTAACGATCGTTTTAAAAAACGATTAACAACCCTAGTTGTGACCTCGGGAGTCAAATGTTCGAAAAAAAAAGATTGAAAATGGATTTACCATGGGCCTTTCCCTATTTAGACACCCACGACGATGTTTGTGTGCTATTAATATAATTTGACCTCCTAAAATGACCCCTTAGAAATCAAATTGGCTGATAATGACCTCGGTGATAATTTTTTTCAAAAACCAATATCATTATTGAAACATGCATATGCTTTTCCCTATAAAACGATACCTTGGATGACTTGTGCTCTCTAAAACATAAGTTTACATTTGAGAATGTGTTCTTTTATGCGTGAACAGTCCCTCAGAATGCCCCATAAAAATCTTACAACATTTTTTGCCTATTTAACTACATATGATATAAATGGACTAATAACAAATGAAAGCGTGAACATAATTTCTACAGTAAAAATAATCTTAATTAAAGTTATGATTTTTTAAAAGTTTTTTTTTTGTAATTTCAGATTCACAAAAAATGTTTTATTTTTGTGCCCTGTTGGTTTAAAAAAAAATTTGATTGAAATAGCGAGCTGTGGATTGTACCAACTGATTTCAAAAAGAAAATAAAAAAAAAATTATTTTTGTGGTCTGGGCAAGGTTCGTACGGAGGTACCCGTAGCTCTCTTTTCGTTTTTTTTAATGCATATTTTATTTTTAGATTGCTGATCCAAAATTTTAGTTAAAAATGAAACGGAAGTGTAACAGCGTATGATTTAAAAAAAAATCGAAAATCTTTAAATTTTCCATACTTTATGAACGAATGAAAATGAGACGTGAAAAATTGAAAAATCCGGGAAATCGATTTCGCTCAAATAATTGGTTGTAACAAAAAAGTATGAGGCCTAGAAGGAAAAATTTTACATCATGAAATAACTGAAATATAGAGCTTTGAATGACACCTTGATCGTAAAAATTAAACAAAAATTGTTTCCTCAGTTACTAATACCCCTACTGCACAGTTTTTTTTGAGACACCCTGCAATAGATTAAAGCTTATAAACATGCATTTATATCTTTTTAAAACTTTTGTATACTATGTTGATGAGTTATTACAGTATAAATGACCGGTTTATTTTAGTATTAACAGTGTGAAGCGCCAACAAAAATTCGTTCACGGTTTATGAAATCCTTTACAGTGCAGCCATTAATGGTCTTTTGTAGTATTAACGGCGTAAACGGTTTGTCAGCTTCATTAATTGTTTTTTTTTTAATTTTTCACGGCCGTTAACAGTCTTCTGTATAGTACTAACAGCATTAATGGGTTAAAACACAGAAGTTTACATTTTACAACATCAAAACAGGTAATTTTTTTCAAGTTTAATGCAATTTTTAGCAGAAAAAAGACGAAAAAAAATCCGTTTCGTTTTTTAATTTTTTCGTAAAAAAGGCTGATCCACTTCATTAAGTATTTAAAACTTCCATTAATTTTCAAAACTTCCGTTCTGTAACAGAACTTTGCCCAGCCCTAGATTTTACTACAATTTATTTGAAATTTGTATCAATTTCGTGGATTTTTCCCAAATCAATTATAGATGAGATTAAAGCTGTTTGTTAAAAATGTGTACAATAAAAGATAATAATATTAGCGAAGTCACATGTTTAAAAATAGAAAATAGGTTTAAAATATAAAAGCAAACTATTATTCACTTAAAATAGATTTAAATCATGATTTAAATCATTTAAGTCACTAAACCATTATAAATTTAAAAAATTATTCACACAAATTATAATAATAATAAGTAATAATTCATATACATCCAATAGGTGGCAAATACAAATTAAAAATTAAAAAGCTTTTTTTAAAACAAAAATTATTCATTTTTCTTTTAAGGATAAAAACCGTCAGTTGACATTTCAAAACTGTAGTTCTTTTTTTTAATAACTTAGACATAAAAAGTTGTAATATTTTGATATCACACATTTAAATATTTCATTTAATTAATTAAATACTTTTGGTGTCGAAGCAAATATCCCACTTTTAAGCAATTAACTATAAATCTGTGCTTAAGCCAAACTAAATGCTATGTTGCTTGATAATTTAATCTTTCTGCAGAAGCAGTTTTTTACATTTTTTACCAGTAAAATTTCAAGAAGAAAAATTTTGACAATACATGAAAGCTCATCATCGAACTTTCCATAGCACTAGAATGAATGGGTGTATGCTCTCATGTAATGAAGAATAAATGGTGGCTTGAAGAGTATCATATAAAACATAAAGGAATGCCAAGGACCACTATATAAGCCTTGATTAATAAATATTATTTAATTTTATTTAAATATTTATTCACACCTAAATAAGTAGTTAAATTCTAAATTCATTGTTTAATTCTGATCTATAATAATTCATATCCAATGTTGGCAAATACAATTGTTATAAATTAAAAAGCTTTTTTAAAACAAAAATTATTTATTATCTTTTAAAGATAAAACCATCAGTTAATATTTCAAAATATGTGTCTTGGAATTTGTTAATTTGTTCCTTAGTTTAATTATTTAGACATTACTTTAAAACTAAAAAATATTGATAACACACATCTACATAAATCATGAAATACTTAAATATCTAAACCATATAATCTTAAGGATAAGCAATCAACTACAAATCTATGTTTAAGCCAAACTAAAAGCTATGTTGCTTTGTAATTAAATCTTTCTGTGGTAATTTAACATAAAAATTAAAATTGTGCTTAAGAAGCAGTTTAAACATTTTTATAGCCTAATTTTCAAATTTTTAGATTTGGTTTTGTTTAAGACAACAAAGTTTGGTACAAGGACAATGTATATGATAAATCTAAATTTTAAAAATGTAAAAAGATTAGTCATTGTCAAAGTTAAATTATAAGCGTGAAACTTTTTAATATATAATTATACACTAGTAAATTATAAGTAACATTTATAAAAGAAAATAAAATTGAAAAAAATAAGAATTCATTCTTTAATAATTGAGATTGCAAGGGGAGGTAGATTTTTCAAAAAATCTAGATACGACTTGAACTGCTGAATACCCTTCATTTGTCTGTTTTTTGCTATTTTAAAATTGTTTTGCTAAAGGCTAAAAAACTAGTTTTTTAATAATCTGACAAATATCTTTGAAAAATTTGGATTTTCCTTGATAATGTGCTCAATTTTCAAGGAAATTAATGTTGGTGAATGTTTGTGAATACCTTTGACAATTATTAAAAAAGAAAATATCAAATCTTTTTATTTAATGTATCAAAGAAAACTTTAAAACTGGTGAAACTTGATTTTTATAAAAAAAAAGTGCCAAATAGTTTTACCCTTGGGATAAGTAAGAAAGCTTATTGTGGTTTTAATCAACTTCCATATTATTTATATTCTGATATATATTTTTAACTGTTTGAAATGTTAAATCGGCTAACTTTAATCAACTTCCATATTGTTTATATTTTAATATGTATTTTTAACTGTTTGAAATGTTAAAACTGCTAACTTTAATCAACTGAAAGAAAAAGCAACACTTTATAATTCAAAATTAGTTGTAAAACCAGTAGTTTTGTTTTATATAATAATATAAAATATCTTTAGCTGATAATCTAGTTCTAGACAATGATGCTGTGTTCAGCAGCAGCTGATAATCTAGTCCCAGACAATGATGCAGCTTATAATCTAGTCCCAGACAGTGATGCTGGTTTCTGCAGTAGCTGATAATCTAGTTTTAGACAATGATGCTGGATTCAGCAGCTGATAATCTAGTTCAAGACAATGATGCTGGATTCAGCAGCAGATAATCTAGTTCCAGGAAATGATGCTGGATTCAGCAGCTAATAATCTAGTTCCAGACAATGATGCTGAATTTAGCAGATGATAATCTAGTTCCAGACAATGATGCTGGATTTGAATCCAGCTGTCGTTTTCGCACTGAAAAAATAAAAATGTTTCCTGAAATAATTCTTTCTATGGTACAAAAAAAATATTTAGGGACTTTAGAAAATTAGCAAAATATTGTTTAAAAATAAATATTTATGCCATGTGATCACTTAAGATCACATGTGATTGCACAAAAGGTAATCGCATAAAAAGTTCTCTGAAAAACAGTTTTGAAAAGTAAAGTCCTAAAATTTGGCACTATAAGTTCTTGTGGAAAAAAGTCCTTGAAATAAAAAGTCTCTGGAAAAAAAGTCCTACCACTTTGAGACTTTATATTTTAGAACTTCTTCTGGTACCAGTATGACTTTATACAAAACTGTTCATGGAAAAAAGTCCTATTATAGTAAAAATGCTTGGGAACAGAGATTGTTTACAAAAACAGGGCAATTAATATTAAAGATATCCTTGGCCTTTTTTAATATGCAGATGCTTAACAAAAGTACTTTTTTTTGAAAACATCTTGAACTTGACCTTATTTTGACAACTTCAGAAGACTTTTTTTCTTAGTTTTTTTTCTTCAGATATATTTTCTTCAGGACTTTAATTTCTGTGATTTTATTTTCTCCATAATACAAAAAAAGTTCCAGGAATCTAAAACTCAGGAATTTATTTCCAGAGACATTATTTCCTAGGACTTCAGAAAATTGGGACCTTTATACCAAAGCTTTTATTTCCACATTTTTCATTCAGAAACTTTTTTCCTAGACTTTCTCACATAGATTCGAACAAACATGATCAAATTAATCAAAAAAATTTTGTTTAAAAAAACTTACCTCAAACTGTAAGAAAAGAACATATTTGAGTTTGTTCTTAACATACATGCATTTTCATATCCAATGTTGGTTGGCCATGTCCAAACCCAACCCTATAAAATGGGTAAGTGATGGAAGAACTGCTCGGTTATCAACATTGAGCAGTTTTTAAAGAATTATTAAAGAATTCGAGAAAATTTACAATTACTGAAAATGGATTCAATTCTGGTCAATAAGATATAAATAATTGTAACTGGGTTACATACACAAAATACAATTTCATAAAAAAAGGAAGAAGTGATGCTGTAGTAAATGCCCTTATCCATAAGGGCCAAGGGGATCTCAAATCTGTATCTATCCAGGTACAATTTGTCAGCTATTAATGTCAGCACAGGCACAAGCTCTTAATCAATTAATGCCAAATCAATGGGCACAATCTCAGCTTCCATATTAAATGAGGACCAGCTATCAATTTCAACAAGGACACAACCCAGCTATCAGTTATCTACCAATCATGCATGATGAGTAAGGGAACACTCCTTTGGTAACAATAATCTAGCATTCTGTCCAGAAATTGAGCCTGGTTTGTTGGAAATGTACTTCTCGTGTGATTTTTAATGAAACGTACGTGAGATCAAGGGAAGCATCAGCCACATTACTGTGTATCTTCAGTCTGATAGTAGGTATTATTCGTCTCAACTGATATACTCCCATCCGCCTCAAAAATGATAGATGGGTTCCTTGTCCATCTCCACTCTCAGAATCTTTCCATCTAGGGCCTCAAATTGGTTGATCTTGATGTTTTTCTTGATCTTTGTGCTTATCTTGATCTTGACTCTTCTCCTGATCTTGATGATCATCTTTCTCTTGATATTTCTCTTTATCTTGATGGTTCTCCTGATCTTGATGCTTCTCCTGATCTTGATGCTTCTCTTGATATATTCTTCTCTTGATCTTGATGCTTCTTTTTATTCCTGCTGTGTATAGCAGAAGGGTATCTGGCTAGCTTCTGCCTCTTCTTAGCTATTTCTGCTGAATCCCCTTCTAGTTCTGCTTCAAACATTATTTTCATTTTTAATGGGCATTCTTTGTTCATTTTTGTTGATCTCCTTTCATTTATAATGGATTTTGAAACATAATGTTCCGGGTTGCCACCAGACCAGAAAACTTATCCAAAAACCGTTTTAATGTTTCCTCTTTCATCTTTTCATCTTGTGTTAGGATCCTGTTTTCATCTATTTTATAGCTTTCATGAATAAATTCCTTCTAACTTTCTCCTGTAGAATAATCCGATTCTTGTACACAATTTATCTTTGTGTTTCTGCATGCATAAAGCTTGGAAATTGTCTGATTAACTATGAGTATTTTCTTGCAGTATTCTTTCTTGGCCTAATTCTTGCTCTTTTGGTAGCATGGTTTTCTTGAAGTTCTTATCTTCTGGTTTTCTTTCTCCGACTTTTGGTATACTACTCACTTCTAGTTTTGAGTGAGACTCTATCACTTCTTGTTGTATCACCATTTCAGTGATTCAACCTGTTAGATGTACCATATTTTTGTTTCAACACTAAAAACTCTTCATCACTGAGTAATAAGGTTTCCAGCCAAAATGGAAATTTGTTATGAGAAAATTTCTCAACTTTCATGACAAAAAAATGTTTCCCAAAATTGTTAGCATTTTTGCAAAATAAGAAATGCAACAGTTATGTACTGATACGAAGCGCAGTTCAAATGAATAATTGGTTATACTTAGAGGTTTACAAATGTAGATAGATAGTAATGTACAATTTAGTTTAGGCTTACAGATATCATGTTTCACAACATTTATTACACATACATATTTAGGGATATTTTAGGAGTCTTTGGATACAAAGTATTAAACCTTCAAAAATGAACTAATGCCCGTACGACTAATAGGCCTACTTAGCCCAGCGCGTGAAAGCATATTTTTTTCACTGTAAGACATTATATATAAAATTGTTAACACTTATGATTTAAGAATACAGCTGTACTCAATGTAATGACAGTGTACAGATTCTACTTTACCATCTATTGTACTTGATAATCTATTTGCTCTTACCTAAGAACAGAAACCACAGACTAACCAGACTCAAGGAGAGTTATTTCAGAAGTGTACACCTTTTGTACTGCATAGTACTGTCTCTGGGCGGAAATGTAAACACAAGACAGATGTCGAAGCCAGGCATGGGATCCATCTTTCACATAAATAATCAATGATATATTCTGGTCATAGGAATCTATTATGTGAATTATCAAAATTATCAAAATTTAATGCTTTTAACCTCCTCAGATACTAAACAAACACTGATGATCTATTCTTGTTTACAAATTCCACCCAAAAAGAACTGGTTTCATTATGTACGCAGAGTATACATGTTAACTTTCCTTGCCTTACATTCTTGACCAGACTGCACATATGCTCTACCTGGATAGGCTAAACTTTTAAAGAAATACTCCAATTTTTAACATTAACAAATTTAGTCTTTTTTTGAAGATTTTGTATTTTGTTTCCAAAGGATCCTTAAATATCCCTGAATATCAGATAAGAATGTGTTGTGAGACATATAGTGGCCAAACTATCGTTCTCCAAAGTACTGAAACAAGATAACCACTTTGTAGACAAGATACGGCCTCAGAATAACAGTGTACTGCAACTGTTGTCCTATTGTCTCGGGGGTTGGTTTTGTTCAGTCATGAATATTATTCTTTATTTAAAGTTTTGAAATATCATTTGCGGCATAGATTTTGGCCATCAAAGTGGCTCACATAAATTATTCTAGTAACTTACAATGCACAAGGTGTTGGATTCACAGTACTGCTGGCAAACAGTGGCTGATTCTACACTGCCTATTGCTTGAAGACCATTCCCACCGCCCAAATCAGCAGTTAAAATCTGTTTTCAATATTTTATTATATTAGGTGATGATGTATTACATTCCAACTATGACTGGGAAAGGTTCTGTTAACGAACAGCAATTTTGTAAAATTAAAGGAAGATTACTTTAGCAAATGGCAAAACCCTTAATTTTAAACACAATTTTGAAAAATGTTAATGGATTAAAAGAGAAGGGAAGATAAACCGGAACAAACGGATGATAAAAAAATACTTGTTTTGCTGTTTTCAATGTCTTTTTCTAATTTTCCTACTATTTATAAAAGAAATATTCACAGTTAACTATTTTTAACATTTCTTCCATTAAACAAAAGGCTTGCAAAAAATTCTGAATGTTCTGAACAAAAGCTCCTTCTTGCATTCACAGTAGTTTTTTTCAAACTTGTATTTATCAAAAGATATTAATTTTTGAAGATGTACAAATCTTAATAATAATTTCCTGTAGAGCTGTTTGATCATCATAAGCTTGATTTCTAGAACACTTAGATCCAGGACAAACAAACTCTAATCCCCTGAACAGTTAACACTCACTACTAACCCATAACATAAATTATTACATACTCCTTTATAACTCTTCTTACAGAGAGTGTTCATGCAAAAATGAAAGAGAGCAAGCTATTGGCTTACATTAAAAAATATTTGATGATGATTGCTTAAATGGACACCCTGTATATGTAAGGTAAAACAAGAAATAAGTTAAAATTAATGTGAAAATTCAGTGGGGTATCCTGTTCAATATAATTAGACTAGAGACTAACAAGCAAGTTGTTGAAGCTGGAGTTAGATATCCACGTGACCCAGAGGGAATGTTTGGAGGATTTGCCAAATTCCTCTAAAATAAGAATTTTCTATAAATATTCTATAAATAAATATAAATATTCTTGTTTTCATTTTTACACAATTTAATATTCAATCATGGATGGATATAGATGTAAGGTGAGTGCTGAATGCTTTAGGCAAATAAAAATAAAATATGATTAAAAAATAAAAAAAAAATTTTTGCTAAATTTCTAAGTGGAAATCTGCAGTAATTGTTATTAAAATCAAATTATAACCTTAGAACTGCTATATGCCTTTAAAAATGCAAATAATTGAATTCCATTTTTTATTTCTTATTTAATTTTTTTCAAATTTTTATGAAGTTTTTTAAAACAATTATGATAAACATTTTCCAACAATTATTCAAAAAATTTTTCCTTTCAAAAAAATAGATTTCAATCACTTATTACTTCACAACCATTTATTATCATTGAAATTAAATTACTTATCACTGGTTCAAATCCTGAATCACCGATTCATTACCTAAATCCTCTTAAATCTTTAATTTTGAATTGATTCAGAATTTGAACCGAAAGTAGGTAGCTCAACAAATTCAAACAACTCATTAAAATTAGTCTAGATCAAAGAAATTTTGTTCGTCTGAAATAAAAAAAAATCACCTCGCAGCATTTAAGACCACCAGCAAATGGGAAAGGATGAGTGTTAGGGCAGAAAGTCATCTGAAAATGTATTTTAATATTTTAATTTTATAAACTTTGAGTTATGGAGTTTTATTTAAAAACACACTTTTAGTGCTGGAAAAAAAGGTTGTTTTTAATTCAATAATATGTCATGTTTAAAAAAAAAATTTTATACAATTTTTTACTTTAAATTTGGATTTTTCTTTATTTCTTTTTTATTATGTTTACCAGATAACCATGAAGTTTAATGTTAATCAATTCGTTCAAAATAGACTAGATATTGGAACTAGAAGTACAACATTATTCTAACAAGACATTTTTCTCACTTGGGCAACAAAAAACAAACTAGGGTTTTCTGACTATATAAAATAATAAAATAATAAAATAATAAAATAATAAAATAATAAGTTCACAAAACCATGAATATCAATAGATTCTGTTTTGAGCTCTGAACAAAAATGCTTTGAATTTTTAATATGGAACCAAATAATTAACTTCACTCAAAATTATCTTCTCATTCTTGCTCATTTAAAGAGTAAATTAAATAACGTTGAAATCATAAAACATAATAATAAGGGCCAAATGTTATTTTTAATTATTTGTCAAAAAAATTTCCTGTATTTTATTTCAAATCCAACAATTTTGAAAGTTTATAGAAAAAAATAAGAAAAGGAGAGTTTTAAGTAACACCCTTTATGATACCCATATTTGTTTCCTCTGTATAAAATTATATATTTACCGCTTCAAATATTTTAATATCCTCCTCTTTGCTTGCTGTGTAGAAGAACCTTGAATTATATTCATTTCTGATCAAAATCTCATTAATTTCAATTATTTTCATGTAACCAAAAACATTCTTAATGTTATTTTACTACCATACCATCATTTATTAAACTGTTTACATGCCCCAAAAAACATGAAAATAAAGTGAAAACTTGTATTTTGTCTTTATTTCATTAACACAATTTTTGAAATATGATAGTTTAATAGTAAAAACGAGTCACAGAAGTTCGTAGTAAGATTTTGACTCCACTGGAGACCACCGGAGGGAATTCTTTTTCACTGGAGGGGTTTAAAAAAATGCTTTTTGCAAATCAAAACTTTACTCATGGTGATTTACATTCCACTGAAGGGACTCAGATGTCCTTCCTGGGGGGTTATAATTCCACTGGAGGGATTCAGATATCCTTCCTAGGGGTTTATAACTCCACTGGAGGGATTCAGATATCCTTTCTGGGGGTTTATGATTCCACTGGAGGGATTCAGTTATCCTTCCTAGGGGTTTATAATTCCACTGGAGCGATTCAGATATCCTTCCTGGGGGGTTATAATTCCACTGGAGGGATTCAGTTATCCTTCCTAGGAGTTTAAAATTCCACTGGAGGGACTCAGTTGTCCTTCCAAGCAATTTATAATTCCACTGGAGGGATTCAGATATCCTTCCTGGGGGTTTATAATTCCACTGGAGGGATTCAGTTATCCTT